GTGTCCGCGCGCGCGCGCGCGCATACGCGTATGGGAAAATGATCGTGTCGATTCAGGCCTCTGATTCGTCGACAGAGAAGGCTCGACCGGAGGTGTGACGTAGCAAATTGTCATTCAAAATGACCTTGGTAGTCTTCCAGCTGCTTCTACCACGTTTCTCCGACTTCATTTTTGTCATGCATGCGTCGTTCAGTTGGACCATTTTTTTTTCATTTCTCTCCTTTTTTTTTTTTTTTTTTTTTTTATTATTGCACATGCACCTTAATTTTATACGGCACTGTATTTTGCCACTAGCACAGAATAGGATGGAATAAAGAAAGATGGAACTAAAGTCTTTGACTTGTGAGAGACTGCCTGCTTTGGCATGATAGCGAGTATAACAGTGAGAATGTTAGTCGAGATAAAAGTGTTAGCTGGAACTTCGTATCGATTTTTCTTTTCTTCCTGCTTGCATCTGATAGGAGAGAAACTATTAAATAGCACGATGCAACAATGCTTGGCGTTTAAGTTCAAATATTAGTGTTTCTTAATTTTATTCTGTTGTCTCGCGTTACAATACTTTTGTCCGAGACTTCCGGTCGTACCGAAGGTTTATTAACGATAAAAATTTGAAATAACAATTTTGTAAGTGTTATCAAATAACTAATTTGTGTGATTGTTGCGAATGAAATATTGTTTAAGAAAATAACACGAAACGAGGGATTATTATTCAAAAGAACGATCGAGAACAAAAAACAGATAGAAGTCAATGTTTTATTATTATTTGTAAACAGTAAATTAGATTAAAAGGCTATCGAGGCTTAATATTTCAGGGAAATATCATTGTTCTTTCATTATTTTTGTAGTTTTTTTATTTAATCGTAAACGGCAGAATTCCTCAGAATGGTGAAATATTTCACAATGTTTCATCAGCCATATATATACACGCAATGACTCGTTATGCGAGGTCATTGTCTATAGACAATTTGCAGACGACAAGCAATTTATTGCTAAATTAATTAATCCGATATTAATATTATATATCAGATTTGAAATTTATAAACGTGTACGAATTATGAAAGATAGTAAAATATCTTGAACGTTATATCATAAACTAACTTTGTTTTTTTTATTTATACTTGCAGAATGTATGTTATGGTATTTACATATGTTTTCAAAATTCAATTTCTTAGCGTGTACGTGAAATATGTAAAAGTTACAACTTTCTTCGACGGCGGAAGTGAAATACTATTGATTGAAAATTCACCGATCAGACCCCTGTTAACATGATGACTCATTTCATTATTCACGTGCGTATTTCCGTAATGCACCTGTCCTATATTTGAAACTGTTTCAGCCAGCGTATGGTTTGCGAACGTGCTACCTATTGTCAATTGCAAATGTTATCTAGGAACCAATATGGCGCAAGCAAAGTTCCACTTTTTCATATTCTTTCTATTCGGGAATTTTTACACTCGTAGTGGCTACAAATTTTTACACGCACAGTTACTACAAAAAGTAATTGGCACATCATTGTTTTTGTTACATAATATATAATAATAAAATCAATTAAAAAATCCAGGTAAATTTCATGTGATTCAACAATACTTTCATATGATTGTACAAAATTACAAATAGAAATCAAATAAAAAGACAGACACTCTGTTAGGAAAGAAGATTATATGTCAATTCGTTTTGTAATCATTTTATATAACGAAAATTACTGAAATATTTCGTTGACCGATGGTATAACTGTATACGCGTAACTGACAGTGAATTGGCTTGCCACTTATGGTATTCAATTTTCGTGCCAGAATAGCTAACTTTCACGCGAAAATAGGCCACGTGGTTACACGTTCTTCTCAAATGTGCCAACGCGCCAATTAAAATACAATCATTGTTGTAAAAAAAAAATGGGTGATTGTAGTAAAGTTGTCAGTATCCCATGAATTATTTTAGATTCTAAAAGTTAACATTTATTCCATACGCGAAAGTTATAAGAGAAATATAATGTATAATGTATAATATAAAAAAATATATAATACTAAAAATATGATATAAACATATATAATAATGACAATATAGACCAGTAAATGACAAATCGATTTTCGAAATTTTACGATTAAATTAATGGCATGCTTAATATTTAAAATGTATATTAGTACCTTTTGTAATCGATATTTTCGATGCAAGTACTTCTGAATAGAAGGCAAATTTAATAAAAAGTCAATCTTAATAATATCAAGCGATTGATTGACAAAATATTGAATTTTGAACTTGCTCTCATATGAGGCTAATGATATGACTTAATATGTGTCTCTTCCGTGGCTTTTATATTTTCACGTGATTAACAAGTTAATAAAACGTCAATTTGAATAATCGTTTGTTCAACAAATTAACCATATTTGGTTATCGTAAAACCGGTTTACAATAACTACTGAAAATGTTTTAAGTAACGTGAGGTATATACTGTAGATATTGGTAAGAAGGTAGTGGGGAGTTTCCTTCATAAAGACGAACGTTATCTTTATTTCAATTCCCGCGTTGCGTTCTTTGGCGCTTGACGCTCCTCAGTCTTGAGATCGGACTCCGAGTTCTCGAATCGCTGATTAATGGCGAGGCTCGTTTTATTTAATCCCCCTTGTGCGTTTCACTTTACAAGTTTTGCCTGGCATTATTTATATTTTCACTTCTGTTCAGTGCGTTCATTACGTGTCCTCTACAACCAGTTGAATTCGTGTACGTACGGATCGAGACTTGGCTCGATTTCCTGGCCTTCTCACAAAGGAGAGAGAAAGGATCGTTCGGTGAATGCGACTTTAATCACATTCTTCGAACAATGTATACAATAAAAAATCCAGGACTTTTGAAACACGATTGCATTTCGTCTACCTGTTTGGTCTGTGAGGAATTTCTTCAAAATTATTATGAGTTGCAAAGGGTAAGTGACTCTTTCTCTCTCTCTCTCTCTCCCTGTCTACGATAATAACCTATTAATTATCTATAAGGAACAAAAGAAACGAAAGTCAATTATAACGTGGTTAATAATTCTCGTTTCGGTTTCAATTCGTCTCGAACGGCAAATATAGTACTTCCACGGCAAGAGAAGGAGAATTGAAGGCTTGTTTCAAAATCGTATCTATTGATTTTCATTATTTCGCTAGAAATTTTTATGAGATCTTAGAAACAACGATAAGGTCACTTTTTGAAATAAGCAAATGGATAGTTCAAGAAATACGAATATCAGTGTCTGGTGAGAGAGGTTATGCGGCCGCGTACAGGTTATGGCTGAAAATATCACGTGGTTGACGTGGTGGAGAAAGCAAGTCTTTCGAAGTATCTCTCGAGTAAATTTCGAGAAGCACGCTTTAATAAGAAGATTCGTTTTGTATCTTGAGTTATCGACGTATATCGCGAAACAAAATATAGATTGATTAATGCGTATGCGATCTCGTAGGATATCTATTTAGATAGGAAGTAGTTGGCATTGAAAAAATGATACAGCAGCAAGTGATAATGTCGTTGTCAAAATGAACACGTGAACGACTTCTATGCAGTACGCAGATCAAATGAAATTATATTTCATGATGAATGCAAATCCTTTCCCTTCTCCGTTCTGCATGAGCATTTGTAACCCTTGAAACTCTGAACTGGACTTTATTTTCTTCCACGAATATTCTCACGGTTGATGTATTTTAATGTGTTCAACAAAAAACACATCAAAATTTCATAATAATTTTTAAACAGAGTAGGAAAACAAATGATAGTTGAACTGCTTTGTAGATCGTGGATTGTGGGACCATTTTAAGAACGAAATTTTTTTAAATGTTAGGAAATACATATATAATAAAGAAATTTTTAATTAAATTATTGTATTGCTATCTATGGACATTTGCTCTTTTATTTTATGTAGAATATCGATTATCAAAAGTGAAGATACTTGGATAGGAATATTGTATAATATTAATAGAGTATAACGTTCGTGTTTATATAATGCAACAGATTATTTTTTTAGGAGTTTTCAAATTTTCGCCCTTGTAGATTTATATGTGTAAAATTTTCGTTTTTATAAAAGTCGACAAGATCTCGTATAAAAAAGATATGAGAGAGATCGATATTTTTTGCATTTAATATTTTCTTAATGTCCATCGAGGCAGATGTTGGAAAAAGTTATACAAAAACATCAGTAGATCAAAAAAATAATTGCTATGCATTTCTGAAACAAATATATATATGTACGTGGTACTTTAACGTGAAGTAACTACTTACTGTAACTCGTGATCAGACGCTTGTTACCTGACACTTCGATACCGATATCGATTTTCCCGTAAGTTCTAACCGCCATTATTTTCATTTGTATTCCACGATTTGAAACTCCTACGTATTTTTTTGCGCATTTCACTATCTTCATTACGTTCTGAATCAGAAGAAAAAAAAAATAAACCAGTATAAATATCGGACTTCCAATTTTAATATAAAAGCGTGGAAACTTATGTACGATTTAAATCGTATGGGAAAAAATATCGATATTCTTTCGTTAGGGCAGACGGATAGTTTCAGAAGTCAAAAGACGGAAATGTTAAATATTTAGTCGCGATTGGTAGACATCGATCTTTGATTAGACTTATCAGAATATCATTTTAATCAAAGCTTAACGTATCTAAATTAATATGAAACTCACGTGATTATCCAACGGTTCTTATCTTGCAAAAATTCTAATTTCCCAAGAACCATAATAATTTTGAATTCTTTTAAATCTAATACTTAACAATAAGCGATCTATGTACAAAGGTGTCGCATATTCTAATATCAGTCTAAAGTAAAGATTCTTATTTTCGCACACGAATACTTATATTGTACATGATAATTTTATATTGCATTTATAATCGTATATTATAATTCTTTTAATGTACGTTCCAAATCCTAGTGTCATTTTTAAAAAAACTTATATAACTTGTATACATAGTGATGAGCAAAAACTGAAGACACGTGTAGAACTTCGACAACATTTTATTGGTACGTACTCGCACGTAGAATACCAAGGAAAAAAGCAAGATACGCGATGTTTTGTAGGATGGTTCTAGCTTTCCAAAAAAAAATTCCACCATCTTATTATCATTACGATGCTGATACAAATACAAATCTTCGCAGAGTCAGTTTTGCGCCAGAATTAATTTAAATGAATTATTAATTTATATGATTTCCTTTTACAAAGTTGCAACAGTTCGACAATTCACTGTAACTTATTGATAGCTTCAAACAGTTGAAGCTAATTTAATCATTGTAGGAGTAAAAGGTACATTAATTAACATCGAATATGTCATTGGTATTTTATAAGTTGGAAAATAGTTCAAGAGTTGCCACTGGTTAATTAATTGCGTGCAATTGATTTTACTCTGCTTGAAAATTTGGCCAAATTCAAAATTAGCGGTCTGTCACGTGATTAAGGTGTTCTCACACCGGAGGAGAACAATGGTCAAATCGCAGATTTTGAAGCCGGGATTGGGCGAGATACCAAGTTAAATTTTGGCTTCTGGCCCGACTTAATCGCAGAAAGCTGCATACTTCTTCGTCCCTTTCAGTCGTTCTTTAGATTTATTCAGTTTCCACGTGAATTCCTCGTCGTTATCGACTCAAGAAAAGTACAAAGAGCTGTCGTTTCACGATGGACAGTGTAGATATCGATACAGATATCGTGCTTCAGTTTCACGTGAAGTTAAGTATCTACGATCGATACTTGTTGCGATTTATTTTACTCGTTTCTCGCAGTCGATCCAATGAACCACGAAAACAATGATTCTCGCAATACACAAAGATGGCTTCTCCCCGTTTGTTTCTGTCGGATCTCCGATTCGAGATCTGACGAACATCGACACAGCTCTTTATACTGGAATAAACTGGAATAAATCTAGAGCATT